AGCTGAGGCAATGCACGAGGTCAGGGGAACCCACGGGTGCAGATTTGCTTTATACTGGAGGTGGGATCTGGGCATCAGCCTTGAAAAATGGCATCAAGGCTGTGAGAAGGAGGTTACAGAGGGAGGATGGGCTCCGCAAAGCCAGGCTGAAACCACGCACGGCATAACAGCCCAGCAGGGCTGGCATGGAGGCTGTGTTTGAAAGCCTGTGGACCAGAAACGTTGTTTGCCACCTTCATTAGTGACCCAGATGATGGGGCAGGGTGCACCTTCAGAAAGTTGGCAGATGACACCACAGTGCGAGGAGCAGCTGGGGCAGTAGAGAGTGGTGCTGCCACCCAGAGGGACCTGGGCAGGCTGGAGAAATGGGCTGAGAGACCTTCTGAGGTTCAGCAAGGGGAAGCACCAAGTGCTGGCCCTGGGGAGGAGCAGCCCCAGGACATGCTGGAGTTCACCCAAGCCGGAAAGCAGCTTGGCAGAGGTGGCCCTGGGGGCCCTGGGTGACACTAAGGTGACTGTGGGCCAACAATGCACTCTCACCGCAAAGTTGGCCACCAGCCTCCTGAGCTGCATCAGGTAGAGCATCACCAGCAGGTCAAGGGGCAGATTCTGCCCTTCTGCTCAACACTGGTGAGACACATCCGGGTGTTGTGTCCCATGATGGCCTCCCCACTGCAAGAGAGATATGGACATGCTGGAGTGAGTTCAGAAAAGGCTATGGGCCTGGAGGACCTCTCTGGTGAGGAGAGGCTGAGAGAGCTGGGATGATTCAGCCCAGAGAGGAGATGGCTCAGGCAGATTGTACCCATGGGAATAAATGCTTGATGGAGAGCGGTAAAGGAGACAGGGCCAGACTCTTCTCTGAGGTGCCAAGTGACAAGAGGCAATGAGCAGAAACTGAAATATAGGAAATTCTCCTTAAACATAAAAAAATGCTATTTTACTGTGAGGGTGGTCAGACATGGGAAGAGGTTTCTCAGAGGGGTTGTGGAGTCTCCATCCTTGGATACATTCAAAGCCCAATTAGACCTGGCTTGGAGTAGCCTCCTCCTGCTGGAGCAGGGGGTTGGAGCAGATGAGCTCCAGAGGTGCTTCCAGCCTCGGCGACTCGGTGTTTCTGTGGTGGTGAGCCTGGACAGACCCTACTCCCAGCCCTACCATGGCTCTGCTCCCCATCCTCCTGCCGTGATGTGGGATGTGTTCCGTTCCTTCCCGCGGTGCTTTGATACCGACTGCAGAGAGGCACCAGCCGAGGGACAGGAGCAACCCTTATGATTGCCTCCAGCACATCTTCCTAGATCTAATAACCCAGACAGTTTATTGACTTCTTTATTTAACTGGAGTCATCTTCTCTCACTTCTGCGCTGCCGTGTTTGCCTCGCAGCTTTTCCAAATACACGAGAAACATCCCATGAGCATCATTTCTTCTAATCCCTTGAATCTATCCCTCAGACACATTCTGGGCCTGATCCAGCAACATGACAATTTCCCCAGCCCTGGCAAAGCTGCAGCGTGGCAGGTGGGAGCCGGGGTCCACCCTGGCTCCAGGACTGGGCATGGCTGGGACCAGACCTCCCCCTGCGCTCTGGGAGCATCCAGCCCCTGCAGGGCCAGCGCGGGCTGCTCTGCTCCTCGATTGCTTTTACATATTCTTTCTGCATGAGTTTTGGCCCAAAACATGACTTTGAATTAAAATCCAAAGGCCCTGGCAATCTCTTAATTTTTTTTAGAAAGCAAATTCTTCTCCTTTTCTTGGTCATGTCATGTGGGTCTATCCATGTGGGTTTTTTGCTGACTCATCTCTGCTATTTTAGGTTTTGGGGCAAAAAGGTCTCACTGACTGATGTTGAAGGAATCCCAAAGCCCTACATCAGCCTGCTTCTCTACAGACCCCGGCTCTCCAAGATCCTGTATAAGGAAATCAGACAAAGACACACAGAATACCAATGGGTTTGGGTCCATATGAAGTGGTTTGGGCTCACTGTAGGTCCCAGCCTCACAAAGTGCTGAAGTGGCTGCACTGAAGCCCATCTGGGCTCTTCCCTTCTGAGCTTCCTTCAGGCAAAATGGCATTCAGCTGCCAAAAATTTAGTCAACAACTTCTACCTTCCCCTTTTTTGTCTGCACAGTTGAAAATAGATACTGTAGGGAAACTACATTGTGGGTCTTTTGATTTAATTTATTCTATAGATTATGAAGAGGAACTTAAAGTTTCATCAAGCAGTTCAAGAAGACAAATGCAAAGTTTCATCATCCCCGGTGAGTTATCAAGGAGAGGAGCCATAGGACAAGGGGTATAGTTTTAGCCTGAAAGAGGGGAGATTTAGATTAAATATTAGGAAGAAATTATTTGCTGTGAGGCTGATGAGTCCCTGGAACAGTTTGCCCAGAGAAGCTGTGACTGCCCCATCCCTGGAGGGGTTCAAGGCCAGGCTGGAGGGGGCTTTGAGCAACCTGGTCTGGTGGGAGGTGTCCCTGCCCAGGGCAGGGGGTGGGACTGAGTGGCCTTTAATGTCCCTTCCAACCCAAATCATTCTATGATTCTATTTCTTGTAAAACTGCTTGTCTGGTTACCTGGACTCAGGCACTCCTAATGCCTAGGGTGATTCATTTGTTTTCTCTGTTTCATTAATAAAATGTGATATAATAATGCTTTTTTGTTACATTAGAGACGTTCAGATTTCAAAAGACCTGCTGCAGCAATGAGTAAACATGGCACTCAAACGCTGTCGGTGTCCACGCAGCCGTACACAGGCTCTGCCTGAGCTTGCCCGCAGAAGAGGGAATTTTCCATCAGATTTACACTTTGCAGCTCAAATTAATCCCCACGGCTGTTTCTTTTCCTGTTGTCCGAGTGACTCCTTTGTATTGTTGGGCTGCCATGGAAAAAAAAAGGTGTCAGTCACCGAGAGGCTGTTCACCCCTCCCTGCCGAAATCCCAGTAACTGCATCACCTCCCTGAGCAAAGTTCCCCACTCACAGGCACTTAAGCCAAGAATTTAGAGCAATAGGAGGGATGAGAGGGGACAGGGTGGGATGGGGTAAACAAGTGAGTCACTGTAACCTCCCGGCCTCAGCCCCACTGCGGCTCAGCTATGGGGCTCCTGGCATCGCTGTGGGGCTGCTCCTCGAGCTGCCACAACCCTCTGCTCCCAAAGGTTTGGGGTGCTGGTGGAGCTCCCCTCCAGTCCCTGGCAGCATGAAGGGAGGGAAATACCGAAATATTGAAACAGAGCAGTCCCAGGGGTGTGGAAGGGGCGTTGCCAGTTGCTTTGTCGTGATTTGAGAGAGATTTGGTGCAAGGAATCACACTGTGGCTGCAGAGAGCATCCCCCTGGGGCCTGTCTGGGATGAGCCTGGTGATGATGGCCCCACACCTGTGAATCGCCCTGCTACGTGGCCAAAAAAGGCTACAAATGCAAAGGTTCTGGCTGTTTCCCTCAGCCCTGCCCAAACGCAGTCCTGGCTCTGCTCTTCATCCTGCGGATGGACACCAGGGGATGCTGCCTCTCTGTGCTCTGGGTGAGGCTTATAATTCAGGCTCCCCTCAAAAAATACCACTCAATGCCCTCCAGCCTTGTTTTGCAGGAAAAATTGCACCCTTTGCTGGGAACTAGCTTGCGACTGGCTTGCGACCAACTCGCTTGGCCAAGGGCTACGAGCACTCTCGACAAGAGGTGTCACAGCTCAGCCAGTGCCAGATGTGCTCACAGCCAGATGTGCTGGTGTTCAGAGCAAGATGCTCAAAAGCATCAGAGCCCTGAGGAGGCTGGAGGAGCCCATGGAAGAGTTAATCATAGAATCACAGAATCATAGAATGGTTTGGGTTGGAAGGGACAATAAAGATCATCCAGTTGTTCCAACCCCCCTGCCCTGGGCAGGGACACCTCCCACCACACCAGGTTGCTCCAAGCCCCCTCCAACCTGGCCTTGAACCCCTCCAGGGATGGGGCAGCCACAGCTTCTCTGGGCAACCTGGGCCAGGCTCTCACCACCCTCACACCAAAGAAGCTCTTCCTGAGAACTCATCTAAATCTCCTCTCTTTCAGTTTAAAATTGTTCCGCCTTGTCCTGTGGTTCCCCTCCCGAATCCGGCTTTCCTGGAGCCCCTTTCGGGGCTGGAAGGGGCTCTAAAGTCTCCCTGGAGCCTTCTCTTCTCCACGCTGAACCCCCTCAACTCTCTCAGCCTGTCCTCACAGCATCTCCATGGCCTCCTCTGGCCCTGCTCCAAGAGGTCCATGTCCTTCTTGTGCTGAGGACTCCAGAGCTGGACACAGTGCTCCTGGTGGAGTCTCCCCAGAACAGAGCAGAGGGGCAGAATCCCCCCACCTTGCCCTGCTGGCCACGCTGCTGGGGATGCAGCCCAGGATGTGGTGGGCTTTCTGGACCCCACACCTGCAACAACCACAACACCTTGGGTTGACATTCCTCCAAAACCCAAGTGGAACCCCAAAATATTTCAGAAAAAAATTGTTGTTTTTCCCAGGTCTGACCCATTTCCATCAGAAAGGAGTTTGATGGAGAATTGTCTCCTAACCTAAGGTAACCAGGTACCCGACCAGCTGCACATGCCCTGCTCCCAGCTTCCCCCAGCTGATGTTTAAAGACCATCCACTCCTGGGTCACTGCACTGTCACAGTGACAAAACGATCAATGACCTGGAAGTGCCATGCAAGGCTTTTCCAGAACGGTGACATCTTCTTCCATCACATGCCACCAAAAGGGAGATCCGAGCAAAAAGTGAGTCAGCAGCGTGGGGAGGGGAGCGCCAGTCTCTCCCCCGGCACGCCTGCGGGGTTTTGCAATGCTCCCACCACCCCGTGTCAGCCCTTTGAGATGGGTGTTACAACACGGTGGGGCCAGGTATGTGCTTGACCGGGAGAAACCAGCATTTCCGTGTCACTGACCGCCCCGGGAGCTGCGGGGGAGACACTCAGGGGACGACCCCGGGGGACACAGGAAGGGCTGTGCCTATATAGAGCCCAAGGAAGGGCAGAGGCAGTGGGTTTCGGCTCCTCTCTGCTCAGCTGTGATTTTCTCCCTGGAAGGGGAATTTCTTTTTTTCACTGCTCGGCGTCACAGGGCGAGGATGGATGCTGGATCAGCCATGGTGCTTGTTACCCTCCTCCTCCTCTCCATCGTGTGGTTCCTGGGCTGGAGAACCAGCAGGAAGAGAAGCAGGCTGCCTCCAGGACCTGCTCCATGGCCCATTCTGGGCAACCTATGGCAAAAGGATGTCCTGCCTCTCTATAGGACCTACGACAAGGTAAGAGAGGAGCTGGAGGCGCCAGACTCACTCCCAGCTCCTCAGGGCAGCAGGAGAGAAAGTGGGAACATCCCATGTCAAAATTAAACAGGAATTGTGCGTGCGACTTTTTTCCCCACCTTTCTTTCCTCTTTTTCCCTCCCTCTTGTCTTGCCCTGCCAGGATTTCCTAAATCCCTGCTACTGGGAGCATAATCAATGCTGTTATTGAAGTCCTTCTCCTCCTGTAAGGGGGTGCTGAGGCACTGCTGCCATTCAGAGCTGCTTCCCAGAGATGGTGCCTTGAAATCCCAAAGTAGCAGCGGGATCAGAAGCTCCCTGGGGTGGGGTGGGGATGGGTCAAGGATGTCAGCTTCAAGGGATGCGCTTTCCCTCCCTGCCCGTGCATTTGCTGATGTTATGGCCATGAGATCTAATTTTGGATTAGATGAATGGCTGGCTAATGAATAAATGGTGCAGGACCCTCGTTCACCACAGCTTTCCTGTTCCCCCCAGCTCAGCAGCAGGTATGGCCCCATCTTCACCGTCTGGCTGGGGCTGAAGCCGGTGGTGGTGCTCTGTGGGTACGAGGTGGTGAAGGATGCTCTGGTGGGCCACTCTGAGGAGTTTGGAGGGAGACCTGAAATACCTCTTCTGGTGCAGCTATCGAAAGACTACGGTATGGCTCTGGGTTTCTTCTAGACACCATTGCTCCCTGGGTGAGCAGAAAGTCCCCAACTGCAGCTGGCCATGCTCATGTCTAGTGAGGGACTCTATGCCAAGACCTCAAACACCCACTTCCTACTCTGCAAGTCCCTCCAGCTATTAAGTCCCATGTCCAAAGGCAGTATTAATTCCAGTTAGCCAGTTCCAGCTTCGTTCTGAGTTTCTGTAGGGATCCTCAGCCTTTCAGGGGTGCTGGGCACACACCAGGGTCATTCCCTGGCTTATTGTCTTACTGCTCCTCAGCTGGGCTCCGAGCAGGGTCCCCCATTCCTGGGAGGAGTGGTGGGGCAGGCAGTTGAGTGGTCTCCATCGCCTCCCTCCAGGTTTTGTCTCCAACAACGAGAAGAAGTGGCGGGAGCTGCGGAGGTTCACGCTCAGCACCCTGCGGGACTTCGGGATGGGGAAGAGCTCCATGTCTCAGCGGGTGCAGCAGGAGGCCCAGCACCTGGTGGAGCTGCTGGCAGAGCTCAAAGGTGACGTGAGTCCCATCCACCCTGGCCCCTGTGGCAAGCAGAGGACACACAGCAGCCTCATGGGACACGTGTGGTCCCCAGAGCTCTTTGGAATGGCCAGTGTGGATCATACTTGCAGAGAGAGGGCTTAGACCCCATCCCACCCAGAGAGAGCTGCAGGGATGTGATAAAGTCATGGTGTAAAGGCCAGGGTGGGAGATCCTGCTGTTGAACTCTGTGCCTGGGCTGGGGGACCAATGAAGAACATTTCTTGCCCAAAGAAGAGAAATTGGAAACTGAAGTTATGGCATTGAGAATACTGCTCCAGCGACACGGAGGTTGTCAGGGTGATGTTCTCTTCTCCAACAAAACTGAGCTGCTCAGTGCCACCACCTCTTCTGGGGCTTCCTGAATATAAGAGGAGATGGAGGCTTGGTTGTAAGATGCCCCCTCTGCCTCTGATGTGCGGTGCTTGCCAGAGGCCAGTCACTGAAGGGAGATGTTCTGCAGGCCCCCAGATCCCCAGGGCACATCACCAGGTCCTCAGAGCACCTGGAGATGCTTCTGCTTTCCTCAATCCCAACCACTGGGGAGGGGCTTAGGGGCAGGGAGGTAGATGTAGGAGCCCACAGCGCAGGACAGCTCTTTGCTTCAGCTGTTAGACCTGGCAGGTTCACCCAGGGCTCAGGGTTCAGAGGACAAGGACTCGAAGGGGGAGAAAGGGTGTCTTCTGTGCTGAAGCAGATAAATAACTGTTGACTTTCTGATGCCTTTCTTGCCCCTTCTGTGGCTGCAGGAAATGCTTTTGAGCCGATTATAGTGTTCAGACATGCTGTTGCCAATGTGATCTGCTCTGTTGTCTTCGGGAGCCGTTACAGCTACAGTGACACGGCCTTTCTGGAGCTACTGAACATGATTGGGAATTACGTCAGCTTCTTCCTCTCCCCCATCGCCGTGGTAAGCATCCACCCTCAAGTCCAATGTGCTCAGGGGGTCAAGGGATGCCCCTTGGCTTTGGGTCAGTCCTTGGCTTTGATGGGACACCATGGTTTCAAGGAAAGGTGTGGGAGGCTCCGTCCAGGCACCTGAGCTCTCCTGTGCCTCTGCAGGTCTACAACACCTTCCCCAACATCATGCACCACCTCCCTGGGCCACACAATAAAGCCTTTGCCGAGTGCAAGAAGCTGAAGGACTACATCCGAGAAAGAGTTGAGCTTCACAAGCTGAGTCTGGATCCCAGCTGCCCCCGGGACTACATCGATTGTTTCCTTATGAAGGCAGAGAAGGTAGAGGTGGTGCAAAGTGGGGTGAGGGCTGCCCTCCAGACCTGGCTGCAGCCTGCAAAATCATCCAGATGATACTGAATCCACTCCCTACCGTGTCCTTGCAGGAGAAGAACAGCTCGGAGAACATGTACAGCAATGAAGACTTGGTCATGTCAGTGTTCAACCTCTTTGGTGCTGGGACAGTGACAACTAGCAATTCCCTGGTCTTCTGTGTCTTGATCCTGGCAAAATACCCCCATATTCAAGGTAAGGGCAGCAAAATGCAACTGTTCTCTGTGGTTGAGGAGGTCACGGTGCTGACAGAGAGTCCCAGCCCTAGAGGGTCCTGTTTGGGGGGAGACCAAAATTATCCTCCATGGGTCACCCAAGGGTGACAGCCATCACAGAGACACACAGGCCAGAGGATCTGGGTACCTGCTCCCTTTTCTCCATCCCTGCTCGTGCAGATGGACCCACGCTGGCCTATGAGAGATGATTTGAACCTGCCTGATCTGGGGAGGTACACAGACAAGATCCTATTTCTGGTGTCTACAGGGGGTTATACTGAGTTTCTCCCTCTGATAGATCATCCTTTGGCTCTGGGATGGGTGCCCAGGGAGGCCAGTAAGAATTTCTGGGGGGTTTTGCACATCAAGCACTGCGGCTCCCCACACCTGCCTTTTCCCCAGCCAAGATCCAGGAGGAGATCGATGTGGTGGTGGGTGCTGGTCGTGCTCCCAGCATGGAGGACAAGCTGAGGATGCCGTACACCAACGCGGTGATCCACGAGCTGCAGCGCTTCCACAAGACCCGCATCGAGAACTTCCCGAGGATGACGACACAGGACGTCGTGTTCAGGGGCCACACCATCCCCAAGGTAGACGTTGTGGCCCTGGAGGCTCTGTGTCCCTGAGGGGAGGGGTGGCAGGGGGGGCTTAAATCAGGTTCACCTTTGGCCCTGGACTGTTTGCTCACTCCGGAAGGTCCTGGGTCTTTCCCAATCCTCGATGGGGGGAGATGGTGATAGCCTTTTAGTGGAGGAATAGAGGGAGGTGGATGCTGCTGTCAGTTCTTCCCACACACAGAATCACAGAATCACAGACTGACAGGGGTTGGAAGGGACCTCTGGAGATCATCCAGTCCAACCCCCTGCCAGAGCAGGTCCCCCCAGAGCAGGTTGCACAGGAACATGTCCAGGCAGGGTTTGAATGTCTCCAGAGAAGGAGACTCCACCACCTCCCTGGGCAGCCTCTGCCAGGGCTCTGCCACCCTCACAAGAAAGAAGCTGCTCCTCATGTTTAGATGGAATTTCCCAGGTTCCATTTTGTGCCCATTGCCCCTTCTCCTGTCACCAGGCACCACCAAAAGGAGTCTGGTCCCATCCTCTTGCCACCCATCCTGTACATATTCATAGGCATCGATGAGATCCCCTCTCAGTGTTCCCTTTTTGAGGCTGAACAGACTTTCCTCAGCAGAGAGATGCTCCAGGCCCCTCATCATCTCTGTAGCCCTCTGCTGTCCCCTCTCCAGCAGTTCCCTGTCCTTCTTGAACTGGGGAGCCCAGAACTGGACACAGGACTCCAGATGCAGCCTCACCAGGGCAGAGCAGAGGTGGAGGATGACCTCCCTCAACCTGCTGGCCATGTTCTTTTTAAAGTACCTTCTTGGCCATGAGGGCACATTGCTGGCACACCCATGTCCCTTGCCTGTCCTGGAAAACACCTCTTTCCACCAGGGAGATGTGCAGGGCTGCTGCAGCCGGGAGCCTGAGTTTGCCCTGGTGTGGGGCCGAGCCAGCCCCTACCTCCTCAGATGTGGGGCAGGTCTGGGGACAGCCACTGGTCTGGGTTTGACCACAAGCCTTTTGTGTAGCGCCCACCTTGAAGGAACACCTCCCTCCTTTGGACTTTGTGCAGTGAGAGGGGGTTTCAAAGTAAATCAATGGGAATAACTTAATAATTTCTATCATCTCATGAGCTGCACAGAGACCAGCAGGACCACAGGGACAGCAGAGCCCCACGTTAGTTGTCCATGCCTGGCACAGAGACGCCACTCCAGGCTGCCTCCCCATGGGCATCTTGGGGGGCATTGGGGTGTGCACCCGGCCTCCCTCGGTGCTCCTAAAATGCTCCTCACTTGCTAATAATCCATGTCAGCAGGGCGCTGCATCGTGGTACTGATGTTCCTCCTTGTTCTCCTGCCCTGTCCCTCTCCCACAGGGCACAGTTGTTATTCCAGTACTTTCTTCCGTGCACACGGATCCGACCCAGTGGGAGAACCCTCAAGAAATCCACCCAGGGCACTTCTTGGATGAGAAGGGCGAGTTCAGGAAGCGTGAAGCCTTCATGGCTTTCTCAGCAGGTCAGTGTTTAACCTGCGCGCGCCGCCTTGGCCAGCACCCTCCCTGCATCAGCTCCCGGGACCACCAGCATGAGTACCGGGTAGCACCAAAGTTATACCCATAATATGATCCTTTTACGCCCTTTTTTTCCCTGAGCACCGGGTGAAACCATCAGCCCGGGGCTCACTCTGCCCTTTCTGTGTCCCCAGGGAAGAGGATGTGCCCGGGAGAGGCGCTGGCCCGCATGGAGCTCTTCCTCTTCCTCACCACCCTCCTGCAGAGCTTCACCTTCCAGCTCGCCGGCGAGTACAAGGAGACTGACCTGTTCTCCCTGTGGCTGGAGATAGAGAGGAGGGCAATACCAGGCAAGTTCTTCGCTATTCGGCGCCTGGTGTCCTCCTGAGCAAAGGGCATCAGGGAGGAGGAAGGTGTCTTCCAGGTGCCTTCACTTCTTCTGAAGTCAGAGCAGGCCGTGCCACCATGAGTGCTACAGCAGCGGCCATCAAGGAGGGGGGCTTTGAGCTTCTCCTGGGAGATCTCCCAGACACCAGCTCCATGGGCATCCTGGCTCCCAGCCCTTCCCCTCCATGTCCCAGTAACACGGGGAACACAGCACTGGTTTTCCTTCTCCCGTATCTATTAACTCTGGTTGAACCTCTTGCTCCTTGGGGTAGGGCTGCCTGTGGCTCCCCAGCTCAGCTGGGCCCTCCCTCGTTTTGGTGCTTCTGCAATAAAAATAACCGTTGGAATGGGATGCTGGTGTCTGTCAGAACTCGTGGTGCCTTTTGACGTGAGGGCAGTGATGGTCCAGGTTCCCTGCCCTCCACGGTGGTGTGGGAGCCATCCAGGACAACCAAGGTGACAAGCGCCTAATACTTCTGCCTCCCTGCTTGGTCGCCTCTCTCTGTGCATCACACAGGGTGTGTGACACCACAGATCACACTCACTCTGAAACCCTTACGAGCAGCCTTTGGGCCATCAGAGCATTAAAAAATGCTGGGCGGGGGCAATGTGCTGGAGGACAGCAGAGCCAGGCACATTTTGCCATCAAAGTCACCGCATCGTTCTCAGGGTGCTCAATATGCTTATAAATACTTAAAGGGAGGGAGTCAGGAGGATGGGGCTGGTCTTTTCTCAGTGGTGCCCAGTGACAGGACAAGAGGAAACGGGCACCAAATTGAGTATAAGAAGTTCCACCTAAACACGAGGAGGAACTTCTTTACTGTGAGAGTGGTGGAGCCCTGGAAGAGGCTGCCCAGAGAGGGGGTGGAGTCTCCTTCTCTGGAGACATTCAAAACCCACCTGGACACATTTCTGTGCAACCTGCTCTGGGTGGACCCACTTTGGTGGGAGGGTTGGACTTGGTGATTTCCAGAGGTCCCTTCCAACCTCACATGATTCTATGACTCTATAATATGCCTTCTGTGTTCCTGCTGCTTGAACCACCCCTGCACGAAGAGGGATCTACTTGCCAGCCCCCAGGCACGCTCCAGCCTTTATTCCAACACACTGGGACTTTAAAAAAAGGCTATTTTCTTTAAATACTCACACAAGGGAAAAATAACCCTGACGCACCCAGCCCTGCCTGGGCTCCTCCTTCCACCAGTGGGCAGCTGAATGTGTCCTCAGGCCTTAGAAAACCAGTATCCAGTTCTTCCCAGTGCAAACCTCCCAGATATAAGATTCCAGCTCTGTGTCTGCTCCCAGGGTGCCTTCACCTTTCCCAGGTTTTTAGGTGTCCCTGGAGAGATGGAGCCAGGAAAACACTCGGTTTGTTTGAGCTGATTTGCCTCTGCGGCTTTAATCTGCAATTGAATCTTACACATCTCGGGAATTTATCGCTGATCCCCCTGGCTGTGGAGAGGGCACCCAGGATGGACAGAGCCACCTGAGCTCCACCAGCAGCAAAGTGATTTCAGCTGGAGAAGGAGCACAGGTTTCTAATAAAAGGGCTGAGCTGCAGCACAGCGTTGGTTGGTTGGTTGGGGTGTGCTCAGGAGAGCTCTGGGAGGGAGTAGGAGAGACTAGAAAAAGTATTCAGCTTGCTATCTCAGCTGTGGGGCTGTGCTGCTCTGAGGTCCCTCGTGTCACTATTTACCTCCAGCAAATCCCCTCAGGTGCCAGCTCCACTCTGTGTGCTCCTGTGCAGCTGTAAAGTCACTCTGGGGCTTATCAGAGAGGAGCTGGCAGTGTGGGATGTGCTCCAGCCCTCCTGTCCTCCCTGGCCGGGGGGTTAGGTTTGTCGCAGTGGGGCTGGGTGTCCCTATGAAGGCTGGGACTGGAGGGCAGTTGGGGTCTTGTGGGGGTCTCCAGGCTGGTTTTGGTGGGTGTTGCCTTGCTGGGGTGCTCGCATCTCCCTGCAAGCACGGAGAGGTGCCTGCGCCCTCCTGGAGGTAGGTGTTGGGGGCTTCTCTCACCCTGGGACCGTAGTTCCTCGATGGTGGGTGTTGCCACGCTGTGGTGTCCAAAGTTTCTCCTCCTCCCCTGGGGATTTTTAAGCCTGTTTGCTTTATTTTTCCAGCTCATTTGTGCCCCGGGGGCTCTGCAGTGCCCGTCCCCCCTCCCTGCCTGCGGGTTCCCGCCCGGGTACCCCAAAACTGGGCGCTGTTGAGTGGCTCCGGGTTTGAGGGGGCGGCTCTTAGCAGCACTACGGCCGGGCGCTCGGGGGTTTACGGTAGCGGGTGTCCTAGCAGCCGCGACGCGTGGGCGATGGGCGGTTGGGGGGGGGCACAAACGGACGAGGCCTGCCGCCCTTCCGGGGGCAGGTAAGGGGGCACCGACCCGTCGGGGGGACCCGGGGAGGAGCGGTCCCGGCTGCGGCCGGGTGTGGGGACACCGGGACTGGGCGTGGAGCTTCGGGTGATGCTTCGTTTACTGCGTAGGGGGCAGAAAACGGTGAACTTAAAAAAAAATTTTAAAAAAAGCAAAAAAAAAAAAAAACAAACAACTGGCCCCGAGGGCAGTCAGGCCCGCGGAGTCTGAAGTTTAGGGGTGCTGATGTCGTGGGGGTTTTTGCCTTTAGTGCCCTGTTGGAGCTCTCGGTGCAGCAAAGGCAGATGATGCTCTGCTGGGGCTGGTGCCGGTTCCCCCCAGCTGGGAAAATCCTCTGATTTCTCCCAGCTGAGACTTGCAAAGAGGCTGAATTTAACACCAGCTGAAAGCAACTGCCCGTGCTGGTCGGGAGGATGCAGCACCTGAGCTCTGCATCCAGCTCTGGAGTCCTCAGCACAGGAAGGACATGGAGCTGTTGGAGCAGGGTCAGAGGAGGCCATGGAGATGCTGGGAGGGCTGGAGCCCCTCTGCTGGGAGGGGGGGGCTGAGAGAGTTGGGGGGGTTCAGGCTTTCCCCCCTGAAAAGGGGTGATTTTAGACTACATTCTAGGAAGAATTTTTTCACTCTGAGGGTGGTGAGAGCCTGGCCCAGGTTGCCCAGAGAAGCTGTGGCTGCCCCATCCCTGGAGGGGTTCAAGGGCAGGTTGGAGGGGGCTTGGAGCAACCTGGTGTGGTGGGAGGTGTCCCTGCCCAGGGCAGGGGGTGGGACTGGATGGGCTTTAAGGTCCCTTCCAACCCAAACCATTCTGTGATGATATCACACAGTTTGGGTGGCTTTCAGCAGACCCTTCCCTGCATGATCAGCAACTCCTGAGCCCCATTTTGGTGGAGACAAACAGCAGACAGCCCACAGCAGTGCTCCTCCTCGTCTGGGGAACGAGCTGCTGTTTGCAGAGTGGTAGGACTGGGATTATCAGCTGTTTGTGACCATATCTCATGTCCCCTGGGGAACACAGTCCTGCAGTCACCCATAGCTGTTTGTCCCAGAGGTGAAGGTCTGTCTCTGAGCTTTCTCAGGGTGTGCTCTGGGAGGAGGTGCCCAGGCTCTGCATCCCTTGGGGACAAGCACCGTGGTCCAGGGGTGATGCTGGATGTTGTGGTTTAACCCCAGTCGACGACTAGAACCACCCAGCTGCTTGCTCACCCCCATTTTTTCCCCTCAGAAAGTGTGTGTGTGGGGAAAAAAACCTCATGAGTTAAGACAAAGACAGTTTAATAGCAACAACAACAGCAAAGGAAAAAATAACAATAATAATGACACATCACACTCACCACCCAGTGAGAGCAGTAACTGGACCCACTGGGTTCAGACCCACTGTCCAGAGCAGTGATTGCGGATTCCTGGTCACTCCCGGTTTATACACTGAGCATGATGTCCATGGTACGGAATATTTCAGTGGCCTTTTTCTCTGGGAAGCTGAAAAAAGTCCCTGAATAGTGTAAATATCACTTAGCAGTAACTAAGAACAACAGGTATTATTCGCACTCCTTTGACAGCAATCACTAGATAGAAAATTAACTCCTTTCCAACTGAATCTGGGAGAGGTGCTAAGTTGGAGGTGACATCCCCCAGCTGAACCAGCTGGGTTCCCTTCTGCATCTGCAGCAGCTTGGCACCTCCCAGTGCTGCTGCTCTGGCTGCTCCCCTCTCCAGCAGCTCTTCCATCGCATGTGGGAGAGCTCTCTGAGCGGGCAGTGCAAGGGGTAAGTGCTGAGAGCAGCAGCCCAAGCAACCTAACTATTAATTGCAGCTTGATTCACCTTGTCCCATTAAGCTTCTGGTTAATACTGCAAATCTGGTATTGTTTAGGTCTCTCATCCCTTCAGCTGCAGGAAATGAGTGGGCAAAGCCGGGGGTGAGCACAGGTCGTGGAGGGAATGGGGAGCTCCTGGCAGCAGGAGACGGGGCCAGATGGGACCCAGACCTGGGAGCTTTGTCCTGGCCCAGCATCAGCCTCCCAGGGCTGGCTCTGCCTCAGCTGTGTGTGCAGTAACCCTGCAAATGAGGGCATCATTAAATGGGGGATGAAAATAGCCTACAATGAAGTATTTTTGATGACAGCGGAATGAAAAAAACTTCCTCTTGAATGCTTCTAGGTAATGCATCTCGGGTTGTGAATTGAATGTTTTCAGTAATGAAAACTGTATGGAAAAGGAGCAGTAAAGGGTCTAATTCTGCATAGCGAGAATGGATAGAATAAGTAATGCAGTACAACTTACTAGTTAGGTACTTAATATACTATTCTAATTTCTGCAATCCCCCATTTCAGATTTAAGAAGCCTGCGGTGATTGTAAAGTTTGCCTCTTTGCTGAATTCTTCCAGAGGAAGATAATGGACGGATCATCTGCTGAATCCCAAGGCAGCTTCAAGGAAGAGAGCTGCCCCCAGCCCAGTGCCCGTATCCCCTTTCCAGTACGGTCTGCCAGCACTTCCACAGCCCTGGAAAGTAAATCCTCATCTGCGAGAACCGACCAGTTTGGTAAGATGGGCACCACTGCCTGAGGGTTTCATACTGGGAAAAATCCATGGTGTTTCCCACCAGAGCATTAACAACGGGCACTGCCTGGAAACAATTCTGTTCTGGGTCACTTTGAGGGGGAAAAAAACCCATGGCAATAATTAGCTGGGAAGTGGCAAGCAAGAGGAGGTGATGCCATTCAACAGATGCTTGTCTTTGCTCTGAGTCGCTTCCCAAGTTTGCCGAGGTGCTGACCCTACACTCGGAGTGAAGAGATGAAGGACAGCCTCTCCCTCCTTGCTCATGGTGTGGATTGAGATGTTCTGCCAGGTTTAAGGGCTTCCACCAGCACAACTTGAATTTCAGAGCGTAGCACCGTGGCTGGTGCTGCACCTGAAAGGAAGGAGGCCTTACACTGTGGGGGAAGTTGCACTTTGGCAAAGATGCCCAGACATCTTTATCTGCAAAATCTGCTGGTGGGAGAAGGGCATTAGCTGTGTCTACCCATCCCTTATCTTGGGGACAACAGAGAAATATGTCCCTCTTTCTTTCCTTTTGCAATGCCATAACCCAAGTCGTATTTTTACTGAGGAAAAACTAATGGCTAAAGGAAGAGTTTTCCACTCTCCTCAGGAAGGAGGGGCTGTGTCCTTGGCATGAGGCTGTTTTGGGATTCCCCCTTGGAGCCCAGGACAGGCATCTTCCCCTGATGGTGATGGCTGTAGAAAGAGGTAGAAGAGGTAAAGTATCTTCTGTTTGTAAAGGGAAAACTGTCACACCACATCCGTGCCAAGCTCACCCAGGGTCTTCTGTGGGCCCCTAATTTTTCCAGCTGTGAAGAGTCCTCACTACCCTTCAGGGCCACGGTGCATGGGAAGAGTTGTTGTTCCCTGCCCTCAAACCCCACTGGTGTGACCTGTCCTGCAAGCACGAAGTATTTTCAGCAGTTTCCTTTAAATGGTTCAACACCAAAGGGATTAGCAGAAGAGTCAGATTAAAATCAACCAACTCTTGCAGGGCCATTACTAACCATTAATTCTGTTAATAGCCACCAAAGCTCAGGCACTGGCAGGACTGTCAGTTCCTCTGTCTTCTAGATGGTCAACCACCAGCAACATGCTTCTGGCCCCGAAACACCGAGTGCCTCATCCAGGAGGGTCCTAATGCAGAGGACAGCTCACTCGTTGTGTCTTCAGCTGATGAAAATGACACTGTGGTTCCTGCATCTCCTCAGTCATCCTCCAATGTCAGCCCATTCAGGGACTTCATTCGCTGCCTCCCACTTCAACTGTCCATGTACATCCTGGGTAAAGCTGCTCTCATTCTCCAAGGGTAGTTTCCCGCTAAGGGTCATGGATGGTGTGGATAGAGGTTGGTCACTCTGTCCTTTTAATTCCTCAGGGTTTTTGGATGAAAAATCCCTCAATGCATGTGCTGCCGTGGGTAGATGCTGGGCTTTTAGGGCCGAAGAAGTCAAGAGGGAACGTGTGTGTCAAAGGATAAGACAGGAGAAGATCCAGTATTTGCAGGTATGATGTCTGGGCTTCTGCAATTATTATGCCGTTCAAAAAGAAGGTGTTTTTCTGCTGCTGCCCAAGCCACGAGGTGGAGATGCTTTTACTAGAGGCCACCTCCCAACTTTACTCTGTTCCTCCTTTCATCTGCAGAGCTAAGCCAGGTTAGATGTTCACACTGCCACAGGCAGGCACAACAGAGTAGTCTTTACTGACCTTCAGAGAGCCTGTCACTCTAAAAATGGATCAAAACATTCTTGTAATCAATAAATCAGAGTTTGGTCACAAATGTAAACACCGGACTCCCAGGAGCTAGTGGAAATGGGGCAGAGCTACAACAGGTCCCTGAGGCAGCTCAAAAATGGGCTTTATTTGCTCCACATGGGAAGATGGGAGTGCTGGGTTTCCTTGTGAGAAGTCAGAGGTTGGGGCACAGTAAAGCAGAACTTCTAGGGATCCTGGTTAGTACAGACCTGCCATAGACCGGGCAAAGTGTAAAGGTGAATCCCCCAAGAGATAAAGTCTTTTTGTGCTTTGATTTGCAAAGAGAGCGTGGAAACCTCAGCTCTGTGCTAGCATTCAGAGGAGGCTTAATGGAAGGTTTCACATATTGAAAATATATCTTTAATAATGACAAAGCTGTTTTGAGAGCCTCTCATCTCAGTGGGTTTGGAGTCTGAACCGAGTGCTCACCAAAGATGAGATGCACTTTGAATTTATTTATTTTTTCTGATGAAATGGGAAAGTTTTGCAGCTTATTAAAAGCTTAAGACTGGAGTTTGGAGGGAAAAAAAAAAAGAGGTGATTAATTTTCACAATAACTTAAATCTTACACCAGCAAAGGGGTAAATATAATCCACGTCTGTTAAAGAACAAGAGCAAGCCACTCTGTGCAGCTCAGCTTTGCAAGTAACTTCATCCCCTGGAGATGCTGAAGCATCAGCACGTGAGCAGCAGCATCCTCTGTGTGTGTGGGATCCGCTGTGACTGTGGTGCCTCTACTGGTTTATTCCCAGGGGCTGTCCCCAAGAGGACCATTTCCAAACTATGCTAAAGTGGTCCATGTGGGAATTCCACAGTTAAATGAAGAGGGTGATGTCATCGAAGTGAAAGATTGGAAAAGTATAAAGAAGGTATGTTGGAAGTTGTTTCTTTCTGTGAATCCTGCATTTGGTATCTGGGGAGGAAGGAGGCCATGGTGGTCTTGGCAGACAGGACTGAGTTGGGGCTTGCTATGCTCTTCTTCCACTCCAGCTTCTGGCTTGCACTGTCATGAGCAATTCATAAGGACCAAGGCTTGCTCAGCACCATGCATGGGAGGGAGCCTGCAGCCCTGAAGTCCTGCCTTGGTCATAAAATCATAGAATTGTCTGGGTTGGAAGGGACCTTGCAAGATCAAGTCTAACCATCAACCCAACACTGACAAAACCACCACTAACCCATGTCCCTCAGCACCACGCCTGCCCGGCTTTTAAATACCTCTAGGATCCCAGCTGCATCAACAGCCGTGAGGTGCTGGGCAGCATCATGAGGACACAGCCTTTTTCCCAAAGGATAAAGGCTGCAGGTGTCAGGTCTTCCATTTTTGCCATGGAATGAGGCCTGGGAACAACCCTTGTTCCTGTGCTCTGGGTGTTCCTCACCAGCACTTTCTGTCTCTGTTGGTCTCATCACTGCAGTGGGGACGTGGGGACCGAGCAGATACATTTAATACTAAGGAATAATGCTGCGTTCCTCCCTCCCAGACTTATATTTCCCTATTTCTTCCATCAGAAGGAGGAGGCCAATCTGCAGGCAGCCTATCGTGATCTGCAAACTGACACGATTCAGCTGGAAGAGAGAAATGTCTTTTGTGGCTCCTACAATACTCGTATCCTCACAGACCAGTGAGTAGATTCCCTGGCTGTAGGGCCAAACAGTGGCTTCTGAAAACCTCCCCCGTTCCTTGCAATCCTCCAGTGGGAATGTATGGCTGGAGAAGGCTCCCTCAGCATCAGTGTTAAGAAATCCTTAGTGTAAAACCCAATTATTTATAGAGATATCAGAGTTGTTAGCTGGCTAAAGCTCATCTCTCTGTCTCTTACCTAGACCAGACCGAAGCAGAATAATCCATTACAATGGTGGAAACTTGGTAGCCATTGGCTCTGCAGACCGAAAAGTGAGGTTTCTTGATATGTCAGGAATGAAGGAAGTGCCTCCTCTTCTTTCTGGCCACGCTGGGAGCATCAAAGCGCTCTTCCTCCATGAGAAGAAAGGGTTTGTTCTCAGTGCAAGCTTTGATCTCAGCATCAGGTGAGCAACACAGGGACTGTGCTCTGGGATACTAGCCCCTTGGCAAATTGGGGAAAAAATGAAATTTTAATCCTTCCACCCCAACCTTTAGGAATCCTCCTTCCTGTCATTGTCATTAAAGGAGAGTAGATAAGGAAATGCATCCCCCTCTCACACAGAGGGCTTCTGTTTCCCAGCTTCACCCAGGACTGACTGATAAAATGGGAAGATAAGTGGTGCCCTTAGGTTTTCCTAAAGCATCTTTAAACATCAGGTGTGTTTCCCACAGGCACTTCCAGTGAGATTCTGGCCTTTGCCAAGCAGTGGGTTTGGGGAGGATGGGTTTGTCTGTGGGACTTTAAGCAGGTTCAATACCCAGGTACAGCTGTAGGGCTGCTCCTTCCCCGGTTCTGCTCCCTGAAACAAGGGGTGGGTGGAGATGATCAACCACTGCACCTTATTTATCACTAAATCTCAAAAGTACCACGATGAAGGGTGAAAAGCCAAACAGCAGGGTGTCTGGGAGGGCAATTGCACAACTTCATCCAAGGCAGCATTTAACCAACTCGGGCTCCGTCCTCCCTGCTCTTCCCGCTGCAAAAAGGGCTGTTTGTTTAAGCACAGGCTTGAGTTCTTGAGATAAAGTCAACAGAAATCCTCTTGGCACCGGCCAGTAATGAAACAGCTTTATCTCTAAAACTCTGTGTTTTAAGGTTAATTGAAGGTAACTGTGCCAAAGGTGAAATCTGTGTGGTCTAGCCACACCTTTCCAGGCAGTTTGCAGGCAGAAAAACAAAGTATATTGGTAAAAATTTAATACTAAGCCTGGCTTGAGGACTGAATCCTCTGACACCTCAGTGGAATAACTCCTGATTTTAACCTAGTGTGTCTGGGAGAAACGCTGGGCCTGTTAAGCAGGAAATAATAAATAAGATAAGCTATCAATTAGGTTAATCACTGTATTCCCTTTTTGGTCGTCCCTCTGTAGATGCTGGAATATACACAGTGGTGTTTGTATGAAAATCTTTAATGGGCACTGTGGGACAATCACCTGCTTGGACTTACACGAGGAGCAGTTTGTGTCGGGAGGAAGGGACGGGATGGTAAAAGGTGAGAGCCCAGACTGGCAGCTTCCCAGCCAAAGGCAAAGAGCAGTGAGCAATGGGCAGCCTCTTGGGAGTTGTGATGTGTGACACGTGCAGTGTGTGAGTGTGAAAATAAGTCTAAAAATTGGAGGGTGAATTCTACTGCCTCATATTTTTGCTTCCAGGAGAGCTTAAGCTAATGCATGCACACACAAGGACTCTGTGTCGTTAAATACATTCTCATTATTTCTGCTTTTAATCAACTTTAATGGCTTTGTGGCTATAGGGCTAGACCAGCTCTCGGGAGAGTAGTATTGGCTTTCAGTTTTGCCAGATTTCCTTGTTGTTAGTTTATAGAAAAGGATGAAAGGGATGTGATGCTTTCTGGACTTCATACTTCATAATTGCATGGGGAAGTTTTTCTCTAAGCCAACACCTGGCTCCACTCAGATCTGCACGTACAAGGTGCAACTGTAATTGATAGAATCATGGAATGGTTTGGGTTGGAAGGAACAATAAAGCCCATCCAGTGCCACCCCCTGCCCTGGGCAGGGACACCTCCCACCAGACCAGGTTGCTCCAAGCCCCCTCCAACCTGGCCTTGAACCCCTCCAGGGATGGGGCAGCCACAGCTTCTCTGGGCAACCTGGGCCAGGCTCTCACCACCCTCACAGCAAAGAACTTCCTCCCCAGATCTCATCTCAATCTCCCCTCTTTCAGTTTAAAACCATCCCCCCTCATCCTATGGCTCCCCTCCCTGATCCAGAGTCCCTCTCCATCTCTCCTGGAGCCCCTTGAGGGTCTGGAAGGGGCTCCAAGGTCTCCCTGGAGCCTTCTCTTCTCCAGGCTGAACCCCCCCAACTCTCTCAGCCTGTCCTCCCAGCAGAGGGGCTCCAGTCCTCTGATCATCAATTCCAATAGCATCTTTTAACTAAATCAGAAAAAAATTGTCATGGGGGCATAAACCTTTAATATTTCTCCCCTCTGCCCCTGACAGTGTGGAGCCTTCAGAGTGGGAAATGCCTCAAGACCCTGAAGCACAGAAGTGCTGTCTGTGTGGTTAAAATGGACGGGAGCCGTGTCGTCAGCGGGAGCGAGTGCAGGCTGGTGAAGGTCTGGTGTGCTGACACTGGCTCTCTGATCAAGGTGAGTGTCTTCTTAAGTGGATAACTTTGTTCTAAACTGTCAAAAAACCCACCAACCTCCTGTGCTTGTTTTAGAGCTTTTTTTGATTATGCCAAAGACTTTATATAAAAAAAAAAAAGCCAAAAAGCAAAGCCAAAAGCTGTTTAAACTGATAAATGAATCTAGAATTATTGGCAAGCAAATAGTATAGAAAAACTCGTTTGCAAACAACTGTCAGTTTTCCCCTGGTGTTTGATTTAACCCCCATCATTACCTGTTCTCTGTAGATACATTAATCTTTCCCATGTAGAAATATTCAGAACCTGGGAGGAGGCCAAGAGGGCTTGACCAACAGCTCTCAGGGTCAAAGGTGTTGTGGATTCGCCCCAAAAATATGAAACTTGCTCTCAGAACCTGAGAGCAAAGCTGGAGCAGTTGGAGAGCTGCTCTGTGATGTTAAGCTTGAGGCCAGAGTTTGCTAATTACCTTAGTAGGTGTCCAGATTTAGTGTTAGTCCACATCTCTGAGAGGAGCGTTCCCGTATAGGCAGGGCAGTTCCTTCTCTTCTCTCCTGGGTGAGTGTTCAGTAGATCACAAAGGTCTTGGTGCAGTCACATCTATTTAATGTGTAATAAAGGTGGAAAACGGATGTTAATTCCATGCTAGTAGCTTAGCAGCAGCAACAACAAAGCCAGAAATTCCATGCTAGTAGCTTAGCAGCAGCAACAAAGCCAGAATATGTTTTATAAGTGACTATAAAATGAACACAATTATCCATATAGGTATATTATATGGCACACGCACCATACAGGGTGTATTGGTATATTATAATAACACCCAATAAAACTACAGTGCAGCCCACGAGGCTGGCATGGTGAATGCCATAAGATACCTCGCTGTATTTCCATCCAGGTTGCTGGCAGTATTGCACCAATTTCTTTGCCTTCGCAGACCTTAAAGGGGCACCAAGGCCCCGTGAAGTGCTTGGCCTTTGACCAGTGGCACCTTGTCACGGGAAGCAGCGATGGATACGCCCTGGGATGGAGCATGTTGGGAAACCTGAAGAGATGCCTGATAGCTTTCCGCCACCCAAAGTAGGAGGCAGATGTGTTTCAAGTTGTGTTCAACGGTCTGCTAAATCTGTACAGAAAATGGCCCCCTTTATAGGAACACAAAATGCTTTAACTACCACTATCAAGATTTGAAATACCCTCACTTTCAACGATCTTTCTCTTTAAAACAGTGTCAGGTGCTACGTGGTCACAACCAGTGTTGCAACAGGTCAGTTAAGACCTGTAACAGCCTAAAATGCAAATACTCGACCACTTGTTCGCAAACAGGGCTGACTTCAGGCTGACAGTGCATAGTCCAGTCTCTCAAGGATCCCAACCCATACGGAAAAGGTTATTGCCCTGCCTGGCCAAGAGAAGATACTGTGTCAGAGGTGGCTGAGTTACATGCTGAACCCTACCAACTCTGTTATGTCATTTTCAAATATTTTAATTGCTTATTAGATCTGTAAAAAAATGTAGCGCATTGTTTTCATTTACTTTCCTAGATGGAAAAATGGAATTTAAAACGCAGCAGATGGCCATAACCACACTGGGTGCTTTGAGGGTGTGCTGAGTTGGTTGTTTTGGACACGGAGTGATTATGAAGGACTTCACTACTCAGCCTTTTAAATATCTCAATGAGCTTTGTTTAGCCTGTTGATGGAGGTGAACCTTTGCCTCTCCTCCAAGACACAAGAGGTAGTTGATCGTGTCTCCTCGGGAAAGTGTGATGAACGTACCAGCGCAGACACGTTGTGTTTTCAGGGAAGTTCTGTCTCTGGAGTTCCTCTATCTCCGAGTCATCAGCAGCTGTGCCGATGGCAAGATCCGTGTCTTTAACTTCCTGACTGGAGACTGCCTGAAAGTGCTGATGGCCAACTGCAGAGGGGACCCCGTATCTTTCTGTGCTGCAGAAAACAGGTTGGTGACGGCAGTGCAATCGGTCTCTGAACCAAACTGCATAGATAACATTGTCATTTTAGGAATTAGGTATTTTTTTCTTTTACTGTCCTTCTCACAGATAAGCTGTGAAGGGCTCTACTGCTTATTCACCGCTTCAATAATGCGATTTTTTGTTAGCAGTGAGTGAAAATAGATTGGCTTAGTCCATTCTGCAATCTACAATAGCCTGGTTTCATACAACTTAAAATATAGCATTGGAAGAGGCTGCCAGGGAAGTGCTGGAGTCACCATCCCTGGAGGTATTTAAAGATGTGTAGATGTAGCACTTAGGGACATGGTTTCGCCATGGACTCAGCAGTGTTAGGTTTACGGTTGGACTTGATGATCTCAAAGGTCTCTTCCAGCCTAAATGATTCTATGGGCTAACTATAAAGCTGAAATAAGAACCCAAATCTTTTAAGAGGTTGGGGAATCAAGCCGAGGCCTGACAAAGCCTTTACCTGTTCCCTGACCTACTGTCTCTTATTAAAGCCCATAATCAGAAATTCTTTCAAGTTCCTTCACATCTGCACCTCTAAACTGAAGGTAGTTCCCAGCTTCTGTGTAAGCAATAGCTAAAACACTGGTACATTTTTAATGCTGTTTTGGTCACAAGTCTAAAACACAGCAATATATGGGCTGCCACAAAGAAAACTCCATCCCACACAGACCCATTACAACCTTCCACTTCAGGTTTAAATGTCCCTAATTATATGGTCTCTCCAGTTTCTTTTGCCATCGCACTGATCTAGCTCAGTCCACCGTTGACAGTTTTCATCCTAATTATTGTAAAACTGATTTTGCTGTAGAGGGGAATGGAAAGAGCCCCCGAGAGCTCCTACGGAGCGTTGAGTCGAAATGCAGGGTGTCTGATTGATGGGACAAATTGCTACTGCTTCCTTAAACAGGTGATGGTTATCTCAGAGCTGTTTAAGTGCCCTTGGGTTTTGTATTGCACAGAATGGCCCTGTTGGGTAGTAACTGCCATGTAAACAATATCTGTGCGTTTTAACAGCTCTTCCTTCCCTTCTCCAGGCTAGTGATCAATTCACCAACCAGCCTGCTGCTGTACCAGTTTGAGGACGTCAAGTGGGACTACACCTTAAACACTGCCCAGGAGATGGTGGGGAAGAACAAACAGCGTAACAGGACTTCAGGCAGAGCACCCCTCTTCCTCCAGCCACCCACAGGGCCCAGCCCCAGCCAGATCCAGCGGCTCGCTCTTGAGACACCAGGTACGGACCAGTTCATGCTGGATCTGCTGCTGGTCACTGACAGGCTGTGGAGCATCTCCAAGTATCCCCAAGTGGAGCATCTCCAAGTATCATCACATACAGCCTCCACCATGCTCCAGCATCACTTTCTGAAAGGAGTTAGAGTCTCACGTACCCTCTGCCTTCTTCCCTATCAATATACAGACTCTCTGCCTTTTTTTTTTTTTTTTTGATTTGAAGTGTGGGCTGGTAGATGTGCTGTTGCGTTTCAATAGCTCCGTCATTTCCAGGCTTTTGTAAAACCTTTGTACCTTTTTAGAAAGGTTTGGTATAAATTCAACGCGTTTGTCAAGGCAGGCGCCGTCACTTTGGAAGGGAGTAATAAAGGAATCAGGAGTATTATTCACATCTTTCCAGCTGGCGTGCGCGGGAACACGCTGCTGATTCACTGCTTGAATTATTTATTAGGAAATACTCTAGAAAGTCACAGGACACCTGCGTGCAGGATCTGCCATCAAGGGAAATGCAACTGCACATCAGCAGGCACCTTGTAAATTGTGATATTGTAACGGGATTTTTTTTTCTTTAAATCAGCAGTTATTTGATACATTGTGTATCAAAAGTTTTCCAGCTCTGCAATCAAACTGTCTATTGCAGATAAACTCACGGACTGAGAAAGTTTTCATGCTTTTAAGGCCACCAGGTGCTAACCTCCTTGGTGCAGCTCTACTTGGTAACAGTTTATAGAAATAGGAAACAAATAGGGATTGCACTATATTTAACTTTTAGTGGTAAAAAAAGTATGGGTCGTGTATACATACTTAATATTTTTTAAGAAATCAACATTTGCTGTCACCTTTGAATTCCATGGGGTTTTCTGCTCATCAGATATCTTTGGATATCTGATATTTCCAATACCTAGACCTTTACAAGCTGTGATAAGAAGCAAAACAGTAACCAAGGATTTGAAATCCCATTTCAAATGAAATGAAGATCTTATTTAATTAAAAAAAAAAAAAGTTTAACACCAGTGAAGTTTAGAAATGACTTTTCCTCCTGTTTTCCAGCTCTCTGCTATGAACTGAGGGAACCAGTAGCTCCCCAGCAGCATTTTCTCACCGTTGAAAAGACTTTTAGTCTCCAGGCAGAGCAGCAGAAAAAGCTTTTCACCCCTGGCACCCCAGAGCCCCGCACCTCTGCCTCAGGAAAGCCAGAGAGAGCATCATCTGCAAGAATCCCAGCAGGCACAGGTAAGGATACTTGGTAGGATGGTAACTCGCCAAACAAGTGCACCTAAAATAAGTGAACGGATTAAAGGAAAAGTGAGGAACTCTAAAAGACAGGTCTTTGCTGGATGAAAGGTTTGCAGTGGTTAAAAAAAATCACTTGCAGAGCCTGTGATGGCTACAGAAGCTCCTTAAATCTGTCAAATAAACAGAAGTGATCAGCTCTCACTATAAAGCCTAGTTCTCCTGTATCTAGGTTTGGGGTTTTTTTTAACTGTATCCTTATTCTATTTTTTTTTATTTCTGTAACAGATGTAGGAGAATTTTGTGCAAAATTTACTCAAGTAATTTACTTGGTATTTAATCAACAGCAGTAACTCAGAAAAATTGTTAAAAAAAAAAAATAAATCATATGTAAATCATCTTAGCCAGCAATGATGTGGCAACCTGAAACTTGAAAATGAGATAGTACCGAGGTCACAGACATGGTCTATGGCCACATGGCATTTCTCTCAGGTTAATTTTTCTCAGGTTTTATATCCTTTTGAGATCTTAAAGGTTGAGACATGCCTTAAAATCTTACTTCAGAAAAGCTGTACCAATTGAACCCCAGACTCCTGGTGTTTGTGACTAAGGTGCAGGGCCATATGTACGTGCAGATTAAAGAGTTCTGAATTCTGTGAATGAGGAACAAGCAACAATTTCCATTAGTTTGTTTTGCCGTGTTCTCCCTTTGTGCACTGTCACTACACATTCTCTGACATACAATTCCAGAGGGCAGAAGTCTCAGTTAACCAATCTGGAAAAACAGAATTATATTGCAAAGCAATGATACGCGAACAGCGTGACACCGCAAAGCCAAGTGACAAATGAATCGCTTTGGCAAGGTCACGGGGCTGAGCGTCTTACACAGACTGTCATCACCCCCAGCCAGTCCTCAGCCCAGGGCGTAATCACACAATCCATCTCCATGTGTCTGTCGTAACCCCTGCATCCCTGGAGGCAGCAAAGCCAGCCTGTGGGGCATGTCTTGTGATTTCCAGTTCAAACGCGGCTCTGAGAAGTAACCGTTCCGTCTGGTTTTCAGGGGTTGGCCTCTTCAAAGGTTGCTACCCAGAACTGACTTGTCTTGAAGCCTTTTCCCAACGCTGTAGGACACAAAGGGAAGTGCGAGGTGGGGAACATGGAAGGACATGAACCTATTGGACCTGTTGGAGCAGGTCCAGAGGAGGCCATGGAGATACTCTGAAAGCTAGAGCCCCTCTGCTGTGAGGACAGGCCGAGAGAGTTGGGGGGGTTCAGCCTGGAGAAGAGAAGGCTCCCAGGAGATGTTGCAGGAGCTTTCCAGTAACTAGAGGGGCTCCAGGAGAGATGGAGAGGGACTCTTGATCAGGGAGGGGAGCCATAGGATGAGGGGGGAGAGGTTTAAACTGAAAGAGGGGAGATTTAGGTTAGATATTAGGAAGAAATTCTTTGCTGTGAGGGTGGTGAGAGCCTGGCCCAGGTTGCCCAGAGAAGCTGTGGCTGCCCCATCCCTGGAGGGGTTCAAGGCCAGGTTGGAGGGGGCTTGGTGCAACATGTTGTGGTGGGAGGTGACCCTGCCCAGGGCAGGGGGTGGGACTGAATGATCTTTATTGTCCCTTCCACCCCGGTTCATGATTCTATGAACCTTATTCCTTGTAGGAACCATGGTTTCAATCAAGGTGGGTGCCAAGCCATCCACACAAAAATACAGCGTGTGTTACAGAGTCTGGCTGCAGTTTGATCCCTACAGGCTACGGCAAGGAGCACATCTCAGTTAACCGAGACAGTTAACTCTGATGTTGGCAGCATCACTAGTTGTGGCCAAGGATAAGCAAACTGAAAGGGTCACTGTTGGCTCGTAGCTTCCTCCACTGCCTGTTCTGTAGATCACAGAATCATAGGGGTTGGAGGGGACCTTCAGAGATCTAGTCCAACCCCTTGCTGAAGCAGGTTCACCTGGAGCAGGTAAACTTGGATAAACTTGGGCTGCTCGCATGCCTGTCAGTCCAGCACCCATCCCTGATCTTACTCTGGTACTACCCTGCCAACTGCGGTCACAAAAGTCATCCTTAACTCCAAATGTGGTGTTTTATTTTTGGAAACAGGTGGCAAATCTGGACGTAGCCCTCCTCTCTATTCACATGCACGTCCTGATGGGGCAGAAGATGCTTTGCAGAATGAAAAGGGAAGAGACCTGTGTTGTCCCATGTCCCGTAAGAAGTTGTTCTTAGTGATCCGCACGCTGCAGAAGGCAGCCACCATCAGCTCCAGCAAGAAGCACACTGCCAAAGTCAGGGAAGCAGGGGAACATCAGCAACCCTGTCCCGAAAAGGTGCGGCTACACAAAACCCTTCTGCAACACAGAAAGGATCAGATGGCCCAGCTCCAACGTGTGAGACTGCACAGCGACTCTCTGACTATGAAAAAAATTTCTACACCCTTTGAAACCAAAATGCTGCAGCTCAAGCTGAAAAGCTCTTTGTATGGACCCACTGTGAATTCCTCCATCCCTGCTCCTTCCGTTGTACGTCTCAAGACTTGTGGTTCCCCACGAGAAAAGAAAGCTCACGGTGGTCACAGTAAAGTCATTCCTCTCCCTGAAGATGGGGTTCAACGTATCGCTCCCTTTACAGCTTCTTCTGACCTGACCAAATCAACAGATGTGAGGTTTGCACAAATGAGGAATGATGAGGTTTCCAGGAGAACAAAGCTTTCTGACGCTGCAGCCCCTTCCTGGAGTGATGGTGGGTTCAGGCTTCTCACAGCAAAACAGAAGGCGGCGATTGAAGCAGCTGCTGTAGCTCAGCATGAGGAACATCAGGCAAAGCTCATGGAAGATCAGCAAAGAGCACGCAAGAAGGCCTGGCTAAGGAAAGTTAAAGGTCTACCTGTAGACTCTTTTACTGGGAAAGGGAAAATAGTGGCTCCTGAACTGGGGTCTAACACGTTTATCTGAGGTAATCCCTTAGTCCAATTCTGACGTCCAGTTGATTCTGCCATGTCAAGGTCCCCGTGGCTTCTAACTATAAAAGCCATCTCCACTACACCTTTTTCTAAGAACTATTTATTATTGGTATCTTCAGCTGTTTCTCAAGGCTCAATGGAGTGAGTCCTCTCCTGCAGTTATCTCGCTAGACCTGCTGTTACTCCAGACATGGCACTGCTTGACACTAATAAAGCCCAACATATGGCTCAGCTGTGCGTGAATAATAACAATAAAAACTTAGTGGCATTTATGTGGATTGATTAGAGTTTATAAGCGGGTGAAATGTGGACTGAAAACTGGCTGAGCCTGAGGGTGGTGATCAGTTCATGGAGTCTAATTGGAGGCCAGTAACTGATGGGGTAGCCCACGGGTCAATACTGAGTCTGGTCTTGTTTAACATAATCATTAATTAATGATGTGGGTGATGGTGCAGGGCACACCCTCAGTAAATTGGCAGATGACACCACAGTGTGAGGAGCTGCTGGTGCAGCAGAGGGTGGTGCTGCCACCCAGAGGGACCTGGGCAGGCGGGAGAAATGGGCTGAGAGACCTCCTGAGGTTCAGTGAGGGGAAACACCAGGCCATGCTGGGGCCACCAGGCTTGGAAAGCAGCTTAAAAGTTAATATATATTATATAAAAAATACGGGCAGTGGTTTCTATTTCTGCTTTTTGTGGTTAAAATGCCTAAATTAACACTCAGGACCTAAAAAGCCTTGAGTTGGGAAGACAAAAGCCTGTCTAGTTGCCCGGCTTTGAGTATCTGGGCCAGTGTAGCAGATACATCTCCATTATTTCCTTGAATTAGATGCTTAAGGCAGGACACTTCTGCCCATGGTCACGCCAAGGGGCCTCCCAGCAGCAGTTCTGGTTTTGAGGTGAACATCTGAAACTCTCCATACCCATAATCCCTACTCTCCATAATCAACTCCTGATTAGTTTGGGTTTGTTTATTTCAATGTCTTCTCCAACTTCCCAACCCTATGATTAATCCAGACCTTGCTAAGGGTGAAAAATAACAATAGTTTTGCCCCAAAGAGTTAATAACGAGCAAGTAATAAAAACTAAGTATCTGTGTAAAACTATGAGGAAGCCAGAAACTGCTGAAGATGTGGGAGCTGGAGTGTTGGAGCTGGGATTTGCTGCCAAAAGGCCATGCAGGGAGGGAGGGTGACAAGTGGCCTTGATGCAGCAGGTCTGTGTCATGGGACAGGGATTACCCTTGCGTGAGGAGACTTTTTCCCTGATATTAGTTTTTGGACAGGGAGCGGCAAGGATTTCACACTTAGCCACGGGATGGCACTTTCTCACAAGAAATGAAGCGTAAACTCACTGCAGCTGCAGCCACAGGCCCTTTGGCTCAATCCCCTGGAAGAAAGCATCTAATAGAGGGAGCCTGATGGAAAAACATCACGGAAAGGCTGATGGCTTCTTAGTCATGCTGAAGTGAGGAGGGTTAGAGCGTTGCCTTCCTGTTTGGAGCCAAGAAAACACATCTCCCTGCAGCTGTGGGTGCTCGGGCACTTGCAAGATGCTACAGCCAGCGGAGGTGGTGGGAAGTCACCTACGGAGACAGAGCTGGACCAAGTCCTGCCATCCAAAGTGGGATGAGCTGGGCATCAGAGCATCGGGAGGGAATTAACGTGTGGGAAGATGTCATATGCGGTAGGTGACAGCACTTAGGATGGTAACTATGAGGGTGGGTTTACTATCTTTGTAATTCCCATCGAAATTTAATTGACCTTTCTGCATACAGGGGTGACAACCCGGGGGTGCAGGACACGACGCGCCACAAGCAGAGCCAAAGCCAGGCACAGTGGTGGCAAAATCATGTCGATAAGTTTTATCTCGATCCCGTCAGCACTGTGCTTGTGTCACCCATGAAGTGCCAATAATATTACCTGAGATGATGATACTGTATCAATGCCGCAGCAATTTTGTCCGTGTGGCTCTACGGGCATTTCCAAACAAAAAGCATGTTTTTACCTGATTGTTGGTTATAACTGGAAGAGGAATGGCCCTCAGTGCTTCACACAGTGAACTGAAAAGGAGCACAAGAGTATTAAAAAGAGGCAACAGCAAAGTTATAAAAAGCAAATTAAGGTTTTATGTAGTATTGTGTTTACCAGTAACAGCTTTGGATTGCCTGCAAAATGGCATCCTGACTTCAGTGAGAATAGAAAATACACTTGTTAACTAGACAAGAAAAATGGACTTTTTAATGTTGTCATATATTGAAATGAAGACAGAACTGTGTACAGGCAGTACTGAGGTGAAAGGACATTTTATTTGCTCGTGGCTGGATCACACACCATGAGATTAGATCAAGTGTATGAGACTTAAGATAGTGTTGATTCTAGTAATTCTACATCTGTCCTTTCTAAACTAAAAAAGATAATACAGATATATGAGAGAGATCGTTAAACAGCCAGGTCTTTATACAAGAAGCTCTTCTGACCCTGCTACATAATACACTTATTCCTGTGGTGCCTCTCCACCGTGGTTTTTCAGGTGTTCTGTAGAAATAAAGTGTTAATTTGAATGCAGTAGAGGTTTTGAGGAAGGTGTCACTTAGGGCACCAGCAGATGCCAGAGCTCTTTCTAAGTGAGCAGGGATATTACCCTGAGAGCACGGGTCAGTCTGAGCCCTGGGGTCACAGTCGGCGTGTGCAGGGATTCTCCCCTTTATGTAGTATTGTGTTTACCAGTAACAGCTTTGGATTGCCTGCAAAATGGCATCCTGACTTCAGTGAGAATAGAAAATACACTTGTTAACTAGACAAGAAAAATGGACTTTTTAATGTTGTCATATATTGAAATGAAGACAGAACTGTGTACAGGCAGTACTGAGGTGAAAGGACATTTTATTTGCTCGTGGCTGGATCACACACCATGAGATTAGATCAAGTGTATGAGACTTAAGATAGTGTTGATTCTAGTAATTCTACATCTGTCCTTTCTAAACTAAAAAAGATAATACAGATATATGAGAGAGATCGTTAAACAGCCAGGTCTTTATACAAGAAGCTCTTCTGACCCTGCTACATAATACACTTATTCCTGTGGTGCCTCTCCACCGTGGTTTTTCAGGTGTTCTGTAGAAATAAAGTGTTAATTTGAATGCAGTAGAGGTTTTGAGGAAGGTGTCACTTAGGGCACCAGCAGATGCCAGAGCTCTTTCTAAGTGAGCAGGGATCTTACCCTGAGAGCACAGGTCAGTCTGGGCCCCGGGGTCACAGTCGGCGTGTGCGGGGATTCTCCCTGTAGCTCCACACCTTGATCTTCCTCCCAGACAGCTCTAACTGTGGGGTCCCCAGCTGCCTTTAGGGGACATCACACCCAAAAGCCCGATGCTTGGCTGCCCCCCCCGAACAGGCTCCTGTGTGGTGGGTGTAAAAGCCCAGGGGGGCAAAGGGATCTTTTTCCTTACCCAGCACCTGGACAAGGGAAAGCAGCAGAGACCTGCTCCCCAGCTGGGAGCGTGTCCTGGGGCCCAGCAGCACTCTGGGGACAGCTGCGAGGAGATGCTGTGTGTGAAAAGGCTGTGTTGATCACAAAACAATAAAGTATAAAGTACTATTAATATTCACAGAATTTTTGGAGTTGGAAGGGACCTTCTAGATATCCTCCAGTCCAACTCCCCGGCCAAAGCAGGGTTGCCCACAGCACATCGCTCAGGAACATCCAGGTGGGGCTTGAAGATCTCCAGAGAAGGGGACTCCACACCCTCCCTGGGCAGCCTCT